AATGCCTTTAACTTTGGGGTATTCATTTCGTGTGTCTGAGTGTCAAGGGTGCGGGCGTGCTGTAGAAGTTATAGACCGGTGATTCTGCATATTTTACTAGATTCGCATGGGTGAGTTTGCAGGGTCCTATTCTAAGGCTTGACGCAATTATTTTGTTTTTACTGTTCATATTATAGCTATGTCTGCTTCTTTAGAGATGATAGTAAGAGGTATGACGTAATTATGACTTTTTTCTGTTACGGAGATAAAAACTATTATTTTAGAACGTATCATTTTTCGTAATCATGTGTGACAGTGCTGACATATGTAGTTTCAACAGCACTGATATCCGAGCAATGGCACGACCATTAATGTCATGAGTCGTACTGGCAAGAGTCGTGAAATAGTTGTTACATGCCTTAAATAAATTTCCGCATTATTGCCACCACCAGTGCTCTATCTAAACTACAAGAAATATTTCTTTATTTCCATATTCTAGTACAGTCATTTACACTAATACTACATATATTTCTCAATTTGTCGGATCTCGAACTAGGCGGACCCCTTTCAGACTTTGAGATAAAAGAACGTCAAAAAACGTTTGTTCAACGATATCGATTTTCGTGCAGTTTGTCTCGATAACATCAGGAAATTCGAAGATTATCTATTGGATATAAACACATTTCTTTGCTCTTAAAAATATTTAATGTCCAAGTTAAAGTGTGACTTTTATTGATTGCAAAAGAACGTAATTTAGTAATTTAAATTTAATCACTTCATATAATATATATAATAATATATAAAACGTAAGCCGATATGAACGAAGGAAGTGATGGAATTACAAACATCCAAGGTGTACAAATAATATATAACATTTTTGAGAAACTAAATTTTGGAAATCTAAAACTTATTCTTTATCTATCCAATAATAATTTTTTTTTTAAATTTCTACATTTGTTCTTATTTTTCCATTACATGTATGAGACTCTCCACAGTTATTATTTTTATTATTTGATATTTGATATCTTATTCGTCGATAAGATTTTACCATATATAAGAACGGAGTCAGGAAAGTTGAAACTAAACACCACTATAAACAAACAAAGTAGAAACAGTCTAATGAGCCGACACGAGTGTAGATTATGTGTGTCGTGACTAAACTGCGAATATTTTATGCAAATTCGTATTTTTGCAAAGTATATCTTATCTTCTAAACGGTATAATATATGTATATTATTGTTGGTATTTTATATATTTTTGGATTTGTACACATTCTCATTGATTTAGCCATATTACCATTTGCCATAAATACATAAATATCTATAGTCTAATCATGACTGAATATAATTATACTTAATGTAAAATATTTTATGATCTTATACTTGCATTTATGTACAGCGTATTTTATCAGACGATCGAAATGAGCAGATGGAACAAAATCTTCGTACATACTAATACGAACTACAAAGATGAATGTATTTATTATAAATATAGATGTATAATATTGATATTCTTTTTATAGGTAGTGTTGACATATTATAAACGCAGTGAACATCAATAAAATTAAGAAATATATCAATTAAACGGTACATAATACTGAATGTTCAGCTTGTAAACAAAATTAATATGATAATTTGAAAATTACATAAGGGAGTTTATTAACAAAAACTATTGAAAGTATTATTAGAAAATATAACTAATGATATTAACAAGTAATTTACCTCTTCCGTAGATATTTTATTGAAAAATGTTAAGCATTGAAAAAGTTGTAAGAGATTTGTTGAATGCAACGCGAATGAAATTGATGTGTTAATATCAATTTGCGCTCATTAAGAAGGATAACAATTGGATTTCCGTAAGAAAAACTCTTAGCAATTAATGTTTGTTATTTATAAAATGAAAGTTACATTTACGTTAGATTGCCACGGTTTCGATTCGTCGATCGACTTCTTTTCGTTATATGATCTCGAATCGTCACATATCCCCAGAGAGCTTCCTTTATCGACAAGATTATGGCAATAACTCAACTCAGACTTTAGTTCTCGATATTAGCATTTTGCAGTACGTTATTTTTAATTAGTCTGGGTTATTTACAAAATTTGATCCTTCGACATTTCACGTACTGCTTCCATCAATTATTCGGTTACTTATTGAATTCAATTATGCCGTTTATAGAGTAAAGCGATGTTGTGCGGTATTAAGTGAATATTAAGAATTAAATCGATTCGCGTTTTCATCATAATTAACTTTCTTGAACTTGGGTATCTTTAAAAAATTATTTGAGAATCGTTAAATCTATTTTAATTAAAAAAGTACAATATTTTAATACATTTTAGTATTTACAATTATATGTTATTGACGATCTACAATAGCATTTATTGCCCTATTTCTAATACAAAAGTTCATTTGAATGTTAACTGACATTTCTCTCTCTCTCTCTCTCTCTCTCTCTCTCTCTCTCTCTCTCTCTCT